GGTTTAGCTCAGCGGCATAAGTGCCTGCCTTGCAAGCAGGCAGTCGTGAGTTCAATCCCCGGTACTGGTGAAAAGGAAAAAGACAAAAATAAATAAATAAATAAAATAAAACAGAAACATTAAATCTGCTAGAAGATACAGTAGGTAGAACTCTTGAAGACACTGGTGAAGATTTTGTGAAACTCCAACTGCACAAGAACTATAACAAAGAATCAATAATTGGGATCTTATCTTATTGAAAAGCTTTTGCACAGTAAGAGAAACCACCAACAGAGTGAAGAGATAATCCACTATAGGGGAGAAGATGTTTGCCAGTTGTTTCTTAGACAAAGGATTACTACTGAGAACATACAAAGAACTCAAAAAATTAGGCCTTCCAGATTTAAAGACCCAACCCAAAAATGGGCATCTGAGATGAATACACACTTCTCAGATGAGGAAATACAAACAGCAAATAAATATATGAAAAAATGTTCACTATCACTGGTGATTCAAGAGATGCAAATTAAAACAACACTGAGATTTCACCTCACCCCTGAAATAATGGCTAGTATCAAGAAATCAAGCAATAATAAATGCTGGAGGGGCCATGGGGAAAAAGTTCCTTCATTGTTGATGGGAGTACAGACTGGTGCCACCACTATGGAGATCAGTGTGGTGACTCCTCAAAAACCTAGGACTACAGGTCCCATTCAACCCAGCTATTTCCCTTCTGGGTATCTTCCTAAAAGAATTAAAAACATCATACCACAGCAATGTATATGCACCTATATTTATAGCAGCACAATTTGTAATAGCTAGACCTTGGAAACAACCTAAATGCCCATCCACTGAGGAATGGCTAAAAAAGATGCGGTATTTTTATACAATGAAGTACTACTTGGCCATAAAGAAGGATAAACTAGAGACTTTTATAGGTAAAAGGATACAACTTGAGGGCATACTCAGAAGTGAAATAAATCAGACACATGTGTAAACATCATATTGTCTCACTAGTGTGAAAAGCTAAAAACAACATATGTATATATGTATATAAAAACTAGTTAAGATAATTATACTACCGATTTCTCTGAGTTCACTGAAGAGAAAGATCTGCTCGGGTACCACTCAGACAATTCAATGCAGATGTCTGGTGCTCTGGGTGAATGATTTGAGGATGACAATGAATAAGGCATATACCACTGTTGCCCCCTGATTGATGTGTCTTGAAATTCTGTTGTAGTTTTCTTTTTTTTTTTTTTTATTTGCAATAAAACGGATTTGAAAAATAAATAAATAGGCTGGTGATACGGCTCAGTGATAGAGAACAGACTAATACTGATTTGATATATAATGTCTAAAGAAAATACTCTATTGGGCTGGGTGTGGTGGTGCATGCCTCTAATCCCAGCATTCAGGAGACTGGGGCAGGAAGATCACGGTGGGTTTGAAGCCAGTCTGGCCTACATGAGTTCAAGGCCAGCCTCAACTACATAATGAGATCCTCAAAAAGAAAAATATTCCAAGTGAATTTTAAAAACTGTTCAAATCTATGCTGGAAGTAGCCAAATACTTGTATCCTTGTGAAATAACTAGCATATTGAATGTGACCTTTTTAAAGTTTAACCTGTAAAATCTGCTTAACTTGCTGAGTCAATTTAATAGATGTAAACAACTACTTTGCAAAACCAAATTCTGAATAAACAGTACAAAATGATCTATTGGCAGATCCCAAAGATCCCTTTTCCCAAAAGCACACACACATACACACAAAAAGCCAGGCCAACAGTGCCCGGTAATTGCTAAGCAATTAACTTATGAACACAATGACGAACAGAATTGCTCAATTTCCCTTACGTTCAGCCTGTTCAATTCATGCTTTTCTGAAAACTAAACTTTGGTACAGAAATCTATGCAGGTTTTAAAGTCAAAGAACAATTTAATTTGCAGTACTCTCTTTGGAGCTACCAAACAAGTATGCTTCCGCAGACCTGCTACTGAATTGTCACAGATCTGTTTCCTAACTTTATAAACTGTAGTATTTCTGGATGGAAAACCTGAGCAATCTTGACCTAAACCAGGCAAGGCAAGGTGGTGCGTACCTATAATCCCAGTCGTCTGGGAGGGTGAGGTAGAAGGATCACAAATTTGAGCCCAGAAGAGGCAATGTCTCAAAATAATCCCCTCTCCCCAGAAAAAGATCTCAGGATTAACTCAGGTCAAAAGCCCTGGGGGGGGGGGGGGGCGCGACCCTGACAGGACCTCAAAAAAAAAAAAAAACAACAGCAGATACCAGAGTATAAACAGTGTCCACTCCCCAGTTCAAGAGGCATCATATGATCCCTCTTGAGGGCACAGGTGACCTCAAGGCACTAGACAAAGTGAGCCAAATAGCTGGTACCTTGTACACAGAGGTACTTGATTCTATTACGGATATGTTACACCCTCTCATTGGAGGAAGATATGTTTCCCAGCGCAGCTGTTTTTGCTGTGATAGGGCTAGAATCCAGACCCTCACCGGTCAGGCAAGCACTGTGCACTGAGTTATGCCCCCAGCCTAAACAAGATGTCTTTATTTATTTATTCATTTATTTTTGTAGCAGGGATCAAACTCACAACCTCGCACTAGCCAGGCAAGCCCTTATGCCACTGAGCTAAATCCCCGGCTATTTATTATTTATTTATTTATTTATTTATTTTTCTTGTCTTTTTGAGACTGGGTCTCGCTATGAGGTTTAGGCTGGCCTTGGGCTCTTTGTAGCCCAGGCTGATCTCAAAACTTGCAAAGATCCTCCTGCCTCAACCTCCCTAGTACTAGGATTACAGGAGTGTGACACCATGCCCAGCAATGTCTTTACTTTAAATTCTTATCATTCAATCAAATAAAAGGGTAACTATTTCTCTTGTTTCAGGAGCGCCTAGTATGTGTTCACATGTGCTACTTAGCAGGTTTACTCTCCAGACCCGAAGGGAAGGACGCAGTAAGCACTCTGAACTTCCCCTGCGCCTTCTCACTTCAGGTCCTGGAGTCTAGGCAGAGTGGCTTGGCTCTGCTGAAGGCCCCGAGGTCACAGCCACGATGGAGGCCAGGCAGGGTGAGAAGTCAGGCTCCAGCCCCTTCCATCCGAGCCCCTTCCATGTCCACCCCATGCCCTACTTCAGGGGACCCCATTCTCTCATCAAGTGCCAGCCCCAAAGCTGTTGGTTTCAATAAAACAAAGGCTTCTTTTGAGAAGTGGACGAGTCGTTATATACTGATTTAATCTACTTCACTTAAGAGAACCAGGAAAGTCTATATACGCCCAGCAAATGGAGTAACAGTTTATATTTACTAAGCGAGGGGCTTGCCTTGCAAGCGCGTAGTCTGAATTCGATCCCTGGTACCAGAAAAAAAAGAAATGTATCTATATCTATATCCATATCTAAATCTATACATATTTACTAAGTGAACCCTGGACAGTACGATAGTGAACGAGTATTTGCTGCATGCCTTCTGTGCAGCAAATGCAGTACTAAGCACAAGATAAGCAGGTGTGGCTGCCACCTTTGTGGCACTAAACAAGAACACTTCTAATTATCCAAGGGGAAGGTAAACCAAGATGCCATAAAAGAGGACTTATTGAAAAGGGACAATCTAGGGGCTGAGGATTTAACTCAGCAGCATAAGTGCCTGCCTTGCAAGCAGGCAGTCGTGAGTTCGATCCCTGGTACGATAAAAACGAAAAAGCCAAAAAAAAAGAAAGAAAGAAAAGGGACAATCTGTCTGAGAAGGCAGCAGGGGAGGAGGCAAAGTAGGAGGCACCGGGAACCACGGTGCAAGGGTCCTGAGGTAGGAAAGGGCATGGACAGAGAAGGCCCGATCAGTAGGAAACATGTGCTTTGGAGGGAGGGAGGTGGAAAGGCTGAAAAACCAGTGAGTTTTACACAAGGACTGGCCTGATCCCATCAATGCTCAGGATCACTCTTGTTGCTGTACAGAAAAGAAAATGGAAGGGAGACAGAAGTAGCAGCCAAAAGACTTAAAATAGCTTACTCTGGAGCAGAGACGATGGACTCCAAAGTCATCAGGGGAGATGGTGGAAAATATGCGTACAAAATATATCCTAATGCTGGGTGACACTGGCTGATGGTTAAATACAGAAGAGGGCTGATTTTTGGTTTAAGCAGCCTGATAGATGACAACAGAAGAGACAGAAATATACCATGAGGAACCACAGGTATACGAGTAAAATGGCCAAAAAAAGTAGGGAGAGAGACCCAAGACTGAGCTCCAAGACGCCTACATTTAAACAGCAAGCAAAAAGGGAGACAAGGACACTGAGATGTCATCTTTGACAAACATGGAAATCAAGGAGTGTGTCATAATGCTAATAAACATTCTACAATTTCTGTAACAACTGTCACTGAGAAATCAGGAAAGCTGAGGCCAGAAAAATCAAACTTTGGATTTGATAAGATGGAGGAGTTAAAAATGATATTGTGAAATGGGAAGAAAAATATTCAAATGAGAAGGGGAACTAGAGAGGGGGGAGGAGGAAAGGTAGGAAAAAGAAAAGGAGAAAAAATGGAAATGAAGCTTTGTAAATAAGGAGGGTAAGAGGGGTTAAAGGAAGGATAGGGAATGGGAAAAGAACATCAAGATATATCAGGTACAAGTACAAATTCCCTATGATGAATGGTATCATTATGTATATCTAAAACATACCAACAAAATTAATTTTTTTAAAAAATGAAGGGTTCAGCTGAGCAGGCATGGTGGCTCAGGCCTGTAATCCCAGCACTTGGGAGGCTGAGGTAGGAGGATCGTTGCAAGTTTGAGACCAGCCTGGGCTACAAAGTGAGCTCAAGGCCAGCCTGAACTGCATAGTGAGAAACCCTGTCTCAAAAAGACAAAAAAAAAAGGGCTCAGCTGGGGATTTAGCTCAGTGGCATAAGCATTTGCCTAACAAGCTCGAGGTCATGAGTTCAATACCCAGTACCATAAAAAAAAAAAAAAAAAAAAAGAAGGGGTTAATACTCACACAAACCATTTTGTAGACTAATGAGAAGGAAAGCCAAGCAGAATGGTTGAGCAAATACGGGGATAAGCTAGGTGTGGTGGCACACTTGGAAGGCTGAGGCAGGAGAGCTGAGGAAAGTTCGGGCAAGTCCAGACTATATAGCATGGTCCTGTTTCGAAAATACCAAACCAAAACAAAAAAGGAACAGAGAGAGAGAATGAGGGGATAAACAATACTTCCAAGAAGTTTTCCTGTGATGGGAAGCAGACACAGCAAAAGGCAGAGACGAATGCCATATCAAACAAATTTAGATAAAGCAAGTTTGTGTGCTGACAGGTAATGCTCTAGGAAACAGAAAATTAATAATGATGGCTTAGACCAGAGAATTATATAGCTGGTCCTCCCTATCTGTGGGCTCTTCAATCTTGGATTCTATCCAGCGCTGCCAGAAAATATGAGGGGGAAAGGCATCAGCATAGATGATTATTTCCTGAATTATCTCCTAAATAATACGAGTTATTTTCATAGCATTTACACTATATTAGGTATCCTAAGTAATCTAGAGATTTTCAAGTACGAAAGAATGTGCACGAGTACTACACCATGTTATTGTTTTTGTTTGTTTGTGTGTGTGTGTGTGTGTGTGTGTGTGTGTGTGTCTTCTTGAGACAGGGTCTCACTATGCAGTTCAGGCTGGCCTTGAGCTCACTTTGTAGCCTAGGCTGGTCTCGAACTCGCAAGGATCCTCCTGCCTCAGCCTCCCGAGGCATGAGCCACCACCTTGGCTTGTGTGTGTGTTTTGTTTTTGGTACTAAGGTGTGAACTCACAATCTCACGCTTGCCAGACAGGCTCTTGTGCCACTGAGCTGTATCCCCGGCCCTTACACTATCTTATATAAAAGGGGCTTGACTATCCTCCGATTCACAGAAAATCCCAAAACCTAGATGAAGACGAGGGCATACATAAATGTTTCGTAAACTGGTGAACACCCCCCGTCGGGGGCTGCAGAATTAATCGAGTGGGGGCAAAATCTTCCATTTGCACGTAGTACGTTGAGCAAGCATGGACAAGGCCATGAGGCGTAGGATTCCAGCTTGCACTCCCTCCTATACTCACAGACGACACCCAAAGACCCTGTGCACCTCCTGCGGCCTCAGCCCGGCTTTCTACATTTTCTCCTCCCCAGAAACCATCGCTTCCGGGGTTAACTCTCCTCACAGTCCCAAGCAAGACTACCCCAGAGTATCCTAACCTCCTCCGGGAACCTTCGGGAAGGTCGGCCCTAGCTTTACCGCTCACAAATCCTCGCTCCCCGCGGAGATACCAGGCCGAGCTCCCCTTCCCACCTGCCCTAGGACACAACATGAATGAATGGGGGAGGGAAGAGGCACATGACGTGGGCGGGGCGCGGCGACCCAGGGCTCGCTCCCCAGGCCCGTGCCAGCCGGGTGTCGCCCGCGCGCACGCTGAAGCGGCCAGGTCGTGGTCCCCCACGCGCGCTCCCGGCGGTCTCACAGTCCCCAGGTGTACCCCTCGGTCCAAAGCCGGGACCCGCCCAGGTCAGCTTACACTTCCATGTCGTCTCGCCTTATCTCGGACAAGGAGGTCACGCTCTGCCACCGCCGCGCCCACCTTCCGCGTCGAGCGCCCTAGCTGCCGCTCTGCGCGCCGTGGTGCAAGCCGGGAAAGCCCTGATGCAGGCCGGGAAAGCCTTGATGCATGCCGGGAGCGCCGCGAAGCGCACCGGGAGCGCCGCGCCGCACTGCGCCGTGCACTTAGAGCTTGTGGGACCTGGGATCTGGGGTCCTCCCGGAGCTTCGTGTCCTTGCTCGGTTTGACTTCAGTCTACTAAGTGTTCACGAACAAGACTTACATTTTCGTGGTCTAAATTTAATAAATATAGTAATAAACTAAAGTAACCGAGATGTAATCGGATTAGTTGGCTTATGCGACATTGAGATTCCATCCCCCGGTGGAGCGAGGGCGAGGCGGCTTGTATGCTGCTATTTGTAAGAGTTGGGTGTTCCTCTGGCCGTCGAGGTCAGGGGTCTGCAGGGTCAGCGTGCTCGCATTTACGTGCCCTTTTCTCGATGTGTGTTATAATTGAGCTTAAGAAGCTGTTAAAAGGTTAGAAAAAAAATCTCACATGCTTTCTCCCTCTTGCCATCTTTCCTCGAGAGTTATTTCGCTGGGTGGGGAAATACCACAGCCAAATAACAAGCTCTGTCCCTGACCTTTGGACCTTTCAAGGAATTTGTGCAAAAGGAGGAAAAATGCACGTGTACTGGTATTCTGGGACATAGCCCAAATGATAAGCAATGCAAAATTGTTAAATCTTGTACACTATGGAAGCCATGAGAAATGCAGCATACAGTATTTGATATGCTGGGGAGATGCTCAAGGCAGATTTTTTACTTACACAAAATGATGTGATGTAGGAAAAAATAAGGATGTGGGAGATGGAACTGCATGATTTGTTTTTTAATAAAATGTATTTTGCAATGTTTGAACACAGGCCCTTTAATTTTGCAATGTTTGAACCCATTACATTGCAATGTTTGTAACCCTTTACGTTGAACTACATCCTCAGACCTCTTTTTTTGATGGCTGTAGGGAGATGTAAGAGTATTGCTAAATTCCTCAGGGTGGGCCTCCTACTGCAGTCTCCTGGCTGGGCATTACAGGAATGTTTCACCATGCACAGCTAATTTTACATTTTATTTATTACATTTTTAAAACAAAAAACAGGATTGGGATGATATTGGGATATAAATTTGAAAAATTTCTCAAAGACTAGGAGGAAATATGCAAAATATTTGTAGCATCTGATGTTTTTGAGTCAAAGGTATTGCTAATTTTTTCTGCTTTTTTTTTTTGTAATTTCATGTTCTGTCCATTATGATTTCCTAAGCTCTTTTTTGGCCCCCAGAAAGGTTCTTGCTAAGAGCTGTATTTCATGATATTCACAGTAACTGTGTAGCTAGACAGCCTGTGGTCACCTCCATCACTTTCTTTAGAGGCTATGCAATCTTAGGAGATTACTTCTAACCTTGTCACCAGTTGGTGGGTGCCAGGGCGTTCTTTCCAGGTCCTTGGTGTCTTAAAAGAAGAATTGGACAAGGTGCACTGAAAAGGCAAAGGAGGCTGTCCGTTTAGTGAACGTGCAAAAGGATTATGCTCTGCAGAATAAGGGCAGGCGGGTGACAAAGCTGACCGTGATGGAGAGTTACAGCTCAAGGAGTCTTTTTGTATCCAAAAGGCCTGGATTGATCTCTACCTCAGGCAAATAGGCATTGAGACATTTGTCCTATCAAAAACTCACTTGGAGCCAGGTGTGGTGGCACTCAGGATGCTAAAGCAGGAACATCACTGGGAGTTCGAGATCAGCCTGAGCTACAAAATGAGTTCAAGGCCAGCCTGAACTACACAGCAAGACCTTGTCTCCAAAAGACAGAGACAGAGACAGAATCATTAAATGGGAGAGTTCTACATCATGATAAGTAATAACCTTAGCAGATATGGTGATGTACACCTGTGATCCCAGCACTTGGGAGGCTGAGGCAGGAAGATCACAGTGAGTTCAAGGCCAGCCTGAACATAGTGAAACCCTTTCTAAATAAATAAATAGTAACATTGTTCACTATGTTATCTTACTTGTTTCCCCAGAATTTTCCATAAGTTCAGCTAGTTGGTTTCTGCAGTTTTAGTCACTCTTTAATAGTTTCAAAAAATTTAGTTTGTAGATTCCATTTGGTAAGGGAATTGATATCAGCAGTAATATTAAAGTCAAGCTTAGTGGCACACAACTGTCAGCCTTGCACTCTGGAGGCTGAGGCAGACAGATGACAAATTCAAGCCCACCGTGCATAACTCAGCAACTTAGTGAGACCTGTCTCAAAATAAAATAAAATTTTTAATTGTTTAAATTAACATTTAAGGGGCTGGAGATTTAGCTCAGCGGCATAAGCGCCTGCCTTGCAAGCAGGCAGTCGTGAGTTCGATCCCCGGTACCGATAAAAAGGAAAAAGACCAAAAAAAAAAAAAAAAAGAAAGACATTAACATAAATATCATAATAGGAAAATAGACCCACTAATGGAATAATTTTGTCTATTAGTGTGAGTCAAAGGACTTTAGCTGTATAATTATGTAAGTCATACAGCAAACCTTTTGTGTTCCTTTTTTTCTTACCTAATTTGCAAATATCTAGCTGGGTGTGGTAGTGCACACTTGTAATCCTAGCACTCAAGAAGCTGAGGCAGGAAGATTGCTAGGAGTTCAACAGCAGCCCGAGCCACACAGTGAATTCAGGATCAGCCTGCACTACATAACAAGACTGTCTTAAAAATCCAAAATGGGGCTGGGGGTTTAGCTCAGTGGCATAAGTGCCTGCCTTGCAAGCGTACAGTCGTGAGTTCAATCCCCAGAATGGAAAAAACAAACAAACAAACAAAAAAAGTCCTAAACCTGATTGGCAGGGATGACTGCACGACCCTAAATACTACAAACATTGCATTGTACTCCTTAAGCAGTGAGTTTATTTGAATATAAATTTTATGGCATATGTACATGAATTATTTATCAATAAAGCTGTTAAAATTTTTTCTGGTGGTTGTATCTGGGAAGTTGATTGGAAGAGAAGTAAGGGAGATTTTTAACTTTTAGTTTTACACATTCTGTATTTAAATGTTTTTCAATGATCATGCTACTTTAAGTTACAAAAAATGTTTTTCAAAAGCATTGACTTAAAATCACCAAGTAAATCAAATACTACCCGAGGCCCAGCGGGTTGGATTTGCCTGGAAAAGCCTGTGTCGCTCCCTTGAGAAATGAGAACCACAAGGGAAGGCTAAGGGTGCTCATGTTCACTCAGCAAACATCTGCTGATGGCTCTGGTGATCACAGACGGTACAAACATGGAAGATGCACTCCCTCCACCTGTCTGGCTGACGCATTGTTGCAGGACCAGCTCTGAACATTAATAACTCCACACTGCAGCTTTGTGGGCTTGCGTAGAAGAGCAATGACTCAGGAGCAGAGAGGCGTCCCCTAGCCAGGCCATGAGGCAGACAGGGAGGGAGGTCTGGGGCCCACCAAAGGGCTCAAGTGTGACAGACAGACGGGCTGAAGTGCAGTCATAGTCAGTGTCGTGCCCAGGTACCTTTCAAACAGGTTAATGCTTTCATCCTTTCTTCTAGATAGATGATGGATGGACGGAATGCCTGTAATCGCAGCACTCAGGGAGGTGGAGACAGGAGGATTATAAAATCCAGCCCAATCTGTGCAATTTAGAGAGACCCTCTTTCAAAATTTAAAACATACAAAGAGAGGTGGGGATATAGCTTAATGGGAAGGTTCTGGGTTTGCTCCCCAGTGAGGCAGGAAATTATGGTGTGGCCAGCCAACTGTGCAGGTGGGTGTGACTGGTCAATCATAGAGATCCATAACTCAGGCACCCAAGCACTGCACCTGTGACCAATCAGAAGATGTTATCTTCAGTTCTGCATACAGCAGAAATGAAGCAGGATTTTGATAGGACGCTGTATCTGACGTCGGAATGGGGGGCTACCCAAATGGCTGATATCAACCTCCTCACTACTGTGCTCTTTTTCAGAGAAAGGAGCACACAGCACCCCAGAAACCTGATAACATGGTGTTGCAGAAAAACCAGTATTAAACCAAATGGAAAACTCTTCACACCAAGGAGTTAGAGAAAAACCATTTATTATACTGGTGGACAAATGAGAATCTCAGTTCCAAATCATCAGCCCTGACCTGTTTTCCAATCAGTTATATATGTTTCCAAAAGGAAATACGAAAGGCAGATAACATAATATCCTACAGTTGGTCTTTATCATCAATTTCTAAGCAGAATCTACTCTTACAGAAACAGCAACTAAATGAGGTTATTATCATATGACATAGAGGAACAACTCATCATTGTCTGAGATTGGGCAGAGGTGTCCTTGCAGTGGGGACTCTCTGGGACCTGGAAGCAAGAGAAACATTTCTTCCTGGCCGAGCGACCCTTATCTTGCAGTTGGCACCTGGAGCCTCAAAGCTCCTTAAGTTTGTAGCTTTCTAACCACGGGAACTGGCTGTGTCTCCTGGTCTCACCCTTGAACAGTGTTAGAAACACGCTTAGAATTAGAAATGCAAGCTTTAAGTTTTAATCTGCATTAAAATAGCTTCTTCAATGGTGGTTAGAAAGTGACCAGCCCGTGTTCAAGGTGGGAAGGAAGTAGTCTAGTCTCCACCTGTGAGCAGAGGCTCAGGAGGAATTTGAAGGTGTGTTTTAGAACCACGCTGTACTTATCATCACATTTCATCTGAAGAGGCAGACACATTGTCATCATCATCTTTATTTTACAGAGAAGGACATTTAGCCAACTCCATGCTTAGATGAACTGATTTGCCCAAGGTCATGAACTTCATGGTAACTGAGATGAAATCCAAGGCAGGCCAGCACCTTGACTTCAAAACTAGTTTTCTGAGTTCCCAGGGCCACACAGGTCACACAAAGGGAGAGTGAACAAGGTCCTCTGCAGTGGTTACTCAAGGGCTGGGCACGGTTCTAAGCACCTTTCTGCAGAAAAGCACAGGTAACAAAAAGCACTTGGCACTGGAAAGTTTTCCTCATGACGAGCCATGTGTATGTCTTTATGTGGTGTGATCAAAAACACGGTGAATGCTGCTCCCGAGTGCCAACCAGT